GCGTTCCCTACTGAGCTCCGCAACCTGCTGCAGCGCCGGCTTGGGGAGCTGGAGAAACAGCTCCTGAAGAAAGTCAGCAACCTGGAGGAGGAGAAGACCATGCTGTCCAATGCCACAGCCGCCTACAGGCTGAAGACTGAGAGCACGCTGAACGCCCTGGTGGAGAGGATCAGTGAGCTGGAGAAAGGTAAAGCAGCCTGAGGGAAACACTGTGTCACTCAGCAGCTGCAACACTGTCAAATTCACACCATCATAACTGAGAGAGAGGATTAGGTCAACTCACCTTGAATTGGAGAAATGTATGAGGTTAGATTTCAACCAGCACATGTGGAGAGGAAAATGGTAGCCTATATGGTGTTGCACAGAAAGAAAACACACAAGTAAAAAGCATGCAACCTACTATGTACTACACTAATGGAGAGGGGCAGAAGAAGGCTCTCAGGGGAATAAAAGAATGAATCAGTGACGGTGAAATAGGGGCGACAGACATGAATGTCTTTTACAATGAAGCGAGCTTTGTTGAAGTCAAACATAAAGGGAGGTGATGCTATTATTTCCGTGCTTTCATCTCCAGACAGTGATTAGCTTGTTTATAGGACACCTCTCACCTCTCGTGCCCTGTCCCTTTGTCTTCTCCCTCCCCCCACCCCCCTCTCGCTCTCTCCACCTGTCTCATTACAGGGGGAGGAGACTTCAAGTCCCCAGAGCAGTTCAAGCTTTCCCTCCCCCAACGGACCAACTACCTGTACGGCCGTTTCACCAAGACACTGCCAGAGATGTACGCCTTCACACTCTGCATGTGGATCAAGTCCAGCGCCAGTCCTGGCATAGGGACGCCCTTCTCTTATGGTGTACCAGGCCAAGCGAATGAGATTGTGCTGATCGAATGGGGCAATAACCCAATAGAGCTGCTCATCAACGACAAGGCAAGTATTTTATGGTTTCTGAAATCTACTAAACGTTTATGGTTATATCATAATATGACAACAAAATGAAATTACCAAAATGTTGATCTACCTACCCTCATGTCAGTGGAAGCTCCAACTAAATATATTCCTTCTGTATGGGTCCAAAAGCCAAGTTAACATTTCGTAAACTGTCTTTTACTACAGCTTGCAAAGTTTTCATTCAACAACCGTACTACACACATGCATTTATGAAATCAAACCATAACTAAGAACATTGCATTTTGACAACAGGTAGCCCAGCTGCCTTTGGAGGTACGTGATGGAAGGTGGCACCACATCTGCATCTCATGGACGACACGGGACGGCCAATGGGAGGCCTACCAAGATGGAGAGAAGCTGGGAACTGGCGACAGCCTGGCAGCTTGGCATCCCATCAAACCCGGCGGAGTCATCATCCTGGGACAGGAGCAGGTAAGGAAGTGAAGTACTCCTTTGTGTTTGGCACATTCCTATATCTGTAGATTTAGTCATTAATGTAGCTCTTTTGTCATGATGAAAGAAAACAGCCACTTACATGGAAACATATTCCAATGGCTTTGTGTTCACACTATCACAAGGCCAACACTTGAAAGTGTAATGTCGAGTAGTTCTACTAATAAGTAGTGTTATTTATGGAGCATCTTTACAGACTGCAGATGGAAGAATATCAATCAGACCTGAAGCAGCAGTAATAACATGGTGGCAGGTTATCATGACAAAACAGTTAAGACAAGAGTAAATCTGCCACCGTCCACAGTCTTCATCCAGACCAACCCGTGTATTATTAAAAAAGCCAGAACGGAGGAATAAGTCAGTCTGTTTTGTGGAAATCAAGTCAGCAGTGTTTGAAGACTGTTATTTTCTATTTTCTAGCTACTGACATGACTGACAGCAAAGTATGAAAATCAGCATTCAGCAAATTCAAATACAATTTAAGAGCTTATAAATTGTGTTTTTAGCCATGCTAGTGGCATGGCTCTAGGAATGGCAATGTCAGCCTGTGGGTTGACATTTGTGGTTTTAAGTTAAATGCCTAAACAACTATTGTATGGATGAACTTTGGTCCAGACATTCATGTCCCCCTCAGGATGAACTGTAATCACTTTGGTGATCCTCTGCTGTAGCTCTCATCATTTGGTCAACATTTGTTCTTCACCAAATTCCTGAAAACTGAGACAGTCACATCAGCCTCAGCTGTATTTGGGTTTCAAATGTTAGCATGCTACACACTAAACTAAGATGGGGAACATGGGAAACGTGACGCCAGCATCAGCATATCCTTGTCTGCATGTTGAGATGCTAGCATGGCTGAACACACTTAGTCGTGTTAGCAAAGTAAAAGCTAAATTGGGGGCAAGGTTTAATGACTAGTTCATCTATACTCCCACAGACTGTTTCCTCCAACTCAGAAAGATAATTACCTTTCATTATATTGTGGTCGATGCTGTTTGAATTTACATCCTGCTGTTTATGGCCCTTACAGGACGTGATGGGCGGCCGCTTTGATGCCGGACAGGCTTTCGTGGGCGAGCTGAGTCAGGTGAACATTTGGGACCGCATTCTGAAGCCGGTCGAGGTCCAGTCTATGGCTAACTGCAGTTCTTATATCCCCGGGAATGTGATCTCCTGGCTAGCAAGCAATGTTGAAGTGTTCGGGAGGGGAGCATTCAAGCGGCCCTTGGAGATGTGTCAGGAGCGACTGCCCAACGCTTAAACCTCGTCTGTCTGCCTCTCTTTAGATTAGCTGGTGTTTCCATCCATTCAGCATTTTTTTATTGTCTGCTCTTACCATTGGGCAGTTTATGGACTTTAATTTTATACATTGGTGTGTAACAATTGTGTTTTATCTGCTATGCACAGAAAGATATTTCAGATGTGTGACCCAGGTGGGATCTCTCAAAATTGAATGTGTGCACTCACGTGATAGATCTGTACCTGTGACCCACAATAGTTAAATTTGTTATGTGCAGGCCGAACACTATCATTGACTGGTGGATGTTTCATTTCTCGTGGCAATCAGAGAGCCACGTACCAACATTTCTGTCTTTCCCATTATTAAGGTACTTCAGTCTGTCACACCCACCTCCATGGTAAAAGGTCCCCTCAGACATTGATGCTAAGACATAGAATACCCCATTCCCACACACTCTTCCCTCCACACTCAAAAACTTTGAAAAAATGAAATAATTAGGAAAAATCCACTCAAGCCACAGGCACACACGTGTACTGCTACTACTGCAAACACACTGAGGTGCAGACATAGCTGACAGTTTGGCACTGACATGTGAGTTGGTGTTGCGTGCTGTGTGGGAGTGAGTAGCAGGAAAGATTAAAGGTCTGGCTACTGTTATGTCTGTTCCGTAACCAGGGAATGGGCTTAGAGCCAACATCAGTCAAACCTCTGATCTTCAAATGCTGGGTCATTTTTAAGAGGAATGTAACTGGAGAAGTGACACTTTATCTGTTACGTGGTATTTTCTGGTAGTGAGAGCATGGACTTATACTTCTGTTGATTTAGTTTTCCAGCTTACGCAGTAGTTAGTGAAAACGGCACCCTGTTGGAAAGCTTTATTCTTGGCATGAATAACTGATACCAGTGATACTAGTGACTCTATCACAGTGCTTTTTTTCCATGCCTTTTTCACTTGAACAAAACCTGTTTAGATGGTGAATCATATTGAAAATATATTCATAGCTTCAGTGTTGTGAAATATTTTTACTTGTGATTTGTAATATTGTTGCAGTGTATTGTCTAACCGAGCATTCAACAGAAGGTTAAAACTATCAGAACTTTCAAGAATATATTTTGAATGTTTTTGTTAGTTTGTTGTTCTATACGCAGTGTAATTTCCCATTATTTAGTGTCTCTGTCCAGAAAAGTTTAATATTTTTCATGTAAGCTCATGTTTAAGGCATTGTGCATCTTGTCTTGTGGCCTTCTTATGGAGACTTAAGTGCCAATAAATGTTTCCTAAGTGTATCCTAAATTATTTACTTTGCCAACAAATGAAAATGTGAAAATAAAGGAAAATCACTGCAATATGAATTTACAAATGTCTGTGTTTTGTCTGTCAGCCATTATATTACAGGTTTCCTGCTAATCAGTATATATTTCACATAATCCATTTTACATATGTTTTGTATTTAAGAGCCCTGTGAAACACATTCGAGCCATCAGATTAGTGAACCTATGGAAGTCTTTGTTTAAGCATATGGCAGATCTACAATCTTTTAAAATCGCCTTGTCTCTTGTTAGCGGTATCTGTCTAGCTGCAAGGTGAAATGGGTGACAGGAGCATTTAATTAAACAGGCTGAGATGGCTTAGGTCAAGCATCAACAGGTGTCCTGGGTGGCATTAGCAACACTTAACAGATGAGAAAGGCCCAAAGGTCGGATGTGGCGTCATAAGCACACTCCCTCAAACAAAGGAGCTCCTTCTATGTAGGGATAAAAATACATGTTTTTCATCATGTTTTACATCAAGTATATGCTTCAATAAACTCCAGACTAATGAAAGGTTCGCCAGCTCTTTAAACACAAGATGAGCTGCTGAACCTGAGATAAACTGAACAATCAATTAAAGAAAATGTGCAAGAAAGATTTTATAGACCGTTTCTATGAATATGAAACGCACCTATTTGATATTTTGACTAATAAAAGCTAAAGAAATGGTGACACTGGCCTAAAAAAACATTATGCTGTATGGGTTTCTGAGACAGGAATTGGATATTGTTGTTGCAGCCTTCACATTATGATCTTTGGTGAAGTCATCTGATTAATTTGTATAATTCACACAGGCTGTTTTTCAGGTGGCCTTGTCTCAGAATTTATGCCGCTTGAATGTTCATATCAATGTGAGGCCCTTCTTTGTTCCTTTTTTACACAACATGTAATTTTTCGGTCACACAGGATGCTCTTTATGTTATAGCCTTTTATCTGGGCTGAAAAGGGGAAAAAAGCAACAACATAAAAGTCTCCATCCGGCTATTCAGAGCTGAATTAAATCAATAATGGTCATGGAAATGGAAAAGAAGATGTCCAAGGCTGGTTTATTTCTGTTCATACTTTATTAGCTTGTGTTTTAGGTCTGATTTTAGAAAGCTGGATAAAAAGATAAAACCCAGGTTGGTTGGTAAATAGTTGGTTGGTTAGTTGATCTATCAAAAATGACACATGAAACATAAAGAAGAGTTATAATGAAGACTAACAAGCAAATTACCTTGAACCTAAAACAGCACGCAAACACAAAAACTGTATGACAGAGTCAGTGTTTACAACAGTAGGGTGCAATTTTCTTCATTTTGAAAAGGTGTGTTTGGCGAAGGGGTGGTTCTAGGGGTGGCAATATCGGTCCAACTCCACTTTGGTCAATAATAACTTACTCGTAATGTGGAAGGGGTTGCTCATAGAGAATTACCACCAAACTCTGCAGCTCCTCTCAGCTCCACATTTTAACATTTACTGCCCTTTTTATTTAATTAATTTGGTTTTCTGCCCAGCAACTTTACTGTTTTGGTCCACGTCCACACACTATATGTTTGGCCGTTTCAGGTAGCTATTTTCTGCAAAAGAGCCCTAAAACTCATTGTACACTACCTGCTCTGCACCAAACAGCAGACAGACAAGAAAGTTTGCAACTTTTTCAAGGTTGAGCTTCTGAAGGAAGTATTCTTTTTAGCACCTGCAGCACCCCACAGTGCCTCAGACAGCTGGCATTCATCAGGAGACACACAATTAATAATGTTGTGACACCTCTAACAGAGGACAAGCTGTCATTAAACACCATAAATGGCATAAAGATAATCTGCAGTTGGAAAAGATTCAAGGGCCACCATGAGTTTTATAAATACCTACAAACTCACTCTTTACTGTACTTTGTGTTTAGTGCCAATTAGCAAATGTTAGCATGCTACTGTGCTGATTAGCAAATGTTACCATGCTTCTGTGGTAAATTAACACAGTCAATGTGGTAAAAATTACACTTGCTAAATATTCAGCATGTTAGCATTGTGATATTAGCATTTATCTCTCACTGCTGTGCCCAAATACAGCTTCACAGAGCTGCTTACATGGCTGTAGGCTCTCACATCATGTACCAAATCCATAATACATAGTGATTCTAAGCAGGACCAGTATGTGGTGGGTTCACCCTGGAAAAGTGGCAAATTAAAGTCTCTTCAAAGCAGAAAATGTGCGTATGAAATACCTTCGATTTGTCTGTTAATGTACACTATTCTCCCACAACACAATGCACAAAGGAAAGGGAGGAGAGTCCCACAGCTGCAAATAATTAAATAAATAAATAGTGGGTGAAACAGCTCCAAAGAAATCTTGGAAAACAAAAAAATAAGTATTACATTTTAGTAAAAACATTTTGCTCTGTCTTTGTGGAATTTAATTGGCGGTACCTTTTCAAATTAGCAGGTTGATTAACATCTGACATTGCTCATATTGTATGATTTGTAACATTTATATCATCATCGGTTGGTAAAATAATTGTAAACTATGTTGATATATTTGTATACTAATTGCTTAAATTAAATTTAGCACTGCAAGAAAAAGGTTTATTTAAATGACGTGTTTTATTCTTTTTTTGGGGGGAAATCAGAGCAAAGCAAGGTTCACATTTGTCAATCAATGTGATAAAAACACAAATAAATGAGTAGTCTCATCCCATTCACAGCATGCTCAATAGAACTCTCATTGTTTAAACATGACCTGCCCTTGTATTAATTTATTATGAGTTCATCTGAATGTCAGCCTGAGCTCTGTGACCCATTAAGTGATCATCATTATCTAGTTGATGGAAAATCCAGAAGGCACTTGACTTACTAGCTTACTGAACATTAGTGACTAAAGCGTTAATTAACACAGCTAAGACCATAGTCCTAAATAAATACAGGCACTGCTGCTTTTTCAACTTGATCATTCACAGATTTAGCTACATACATAGGGGTATGCAAGATGACATTGTTATTACTTCTATAACACCATAATTGTGCTTTTTCTTCTGCCTAGCTGTACATGTAGCCACAGTATGCTGGAACACAGATGCTTAAGAGAAGTACTGAGTCTCATACTGCAAAAGGAGAGGCTCTTTCTCTCCTCTCTCCATGTTGGTGAAGTTAAAAAGAATCATGCCTTGACCTTCAGGGTCTTGGTTCTTCAGGAATACAGTGTTACTGGAAGCAGCAATCTGCACAAACCACATATGTAAGTACAAAGGTCAGAAATTTCTTTCTTTCAAGTGGCTTTCAGATTGAATATGTTTCAAAAACTATGAAGGATGAGTGTCAGTCCAGTGACACCTTATGTTGGCATTTCTGGGAGTTTCTGACACACACTTGTTTGTTTGGTGTAATTTATTTTTGGGCACAGACAGCCTCCTTGTGGTCACCAAATGCATTTAAATGCACTTAAGGGGGGTTTGAATTATATTCTATAGAGCTAATGAAAAAAAACATACATCTGTGATTATTTACTGCTAAACATGATAAGGCACGTCACTTTTGCAATCACTTCACCAAAACTTTTCCCAACTGCACATGGCCTGGATTGAACCCAGTTTGGAATAGTTTCCCACCACATTCATTTTCTGTTTCATGTCTTTCATTAAGCTCTTAGTCACCACTTCTTACCCCTACAAACCGTTGATAATAAAGTTATACTGAAACATAAAGAATATTTTTCATTTGCAAAAGAAAGTTTTGCAAATTATGTAAGTAGTCACTGTAAGGTGTTGCAACACGTTCAGTTCTGTAGCCTACCTGTGATCTGTTGTGATGGCGAGGGCGGCAGGCGAAGACTATGATGAATGTGAAGGTTGCTACGAGAACGGCTGCACATGACAGGATGAAGAACATGTGGGTGTTATCTGCAATTAACACAGGAAAAAGTACGTCACTTGTGAGTGTGGTCCTTTTAGAATCAAAGTGAAACAATATTTTAACAATATCTCATTTCATATAGTTCCTTTTGTTTCTTAATTTGATGTATTTTAATTTGAAACTGAATATTTCAACAACTATTTAGTGAATTGAATGTTCTGAGTTAAGGAGACAATCATGTTCACTAGTTAAATGCCCAGATTATTCATACTGATATCAGAATGTATAAGATAATAACACTTTGTTTTGTTGTCTTACATGTAAGGTATAACATGTGTCATATAAATAACCATGTTAAAGTCTTATTTAGTATCTGGGTTACATGAAGAAATAAACAGTCTTTGATCTGTGATTTGATCCAGCTGCTGCTCCGCATATAAGCCACACAGTAGAAGCTCTGTTGAAAGAATCTGAAGCTGAAATTCAGATCATAGTTGGGAGGTAAGAGCAGAACAGTGTAGCATTACAAATTTCTAGTATGTAACTAAACCACACTGTGACACTGTCTATTGAAATACCCTTAATAGCAATAGAGGATAAAGCTTTACCATAGTTTACCTGCTAGTAAGAATCTGACACTAAAAGCTGGTTATAATGAGTTTTAGTTGCATCACAGCAACAGCGACTCAGTTGAGCAGCACAGCAGTCATGTGCTGAGCAGTCAGTCCACTTTTTCATTTTCACTGCTCCCTCTGTGTCTGTGGAACTAACGCAACTAAAGGGCGCATGCTACATTTTATCTGAAAACACCTCATGACACGACACAGCTTCTCTTAGTTTCAAGAATCTTTTTGATTGTCGACAACTTGAAAATACAAAATAATTTGTAATGTTGCACTAAATCATACATGTGAATCAAGAGAGTTATGTTTCATTTTAATTTATTCAGATTTCACCAAAACTGAGTCTACAGATTAAAATATGTGGAGGGCCAAGAGAGCCTTGTAAATGACCATAAAGTTGCTACTGTTTTCATATTTAGTTGGAGAGTAAAAAAAGAGATAATCACAGAGTTAACAAATGAATGATTACATCTATTATATAGATATATATATATATAAAACCTATTTAAGCATTATTTGGTAAGGGTTCATTGGATGATAACAAAATAGATTAAGATTTTACAAATAAACCAACAAATTGCTCAATTGAAAAGGCACACAAAAGTTAAATAATCAATAGACTTAAAACAAATTGACATACAATTTGGATCTCAATTGGTTTCCTAATTACTTCTCCATTTGTGTCCTTTAATGACTTTTGATTTTTTTTGATAAATCACCAATTTATGAGTCACATTTAAAGCTTTTGCAAGGTTCTCTAGGACATCCAAATAGGCTGTGTAAAAAGACATTGCATTGCAGGCCCCCTCTCCAGACAGGCCTTTAGGTTGTCCTACAGCAGTGTTGGAAGCAGCAGACAGATCACCTCCCCTGTTCAGTAAGACTTTGACTCTCTCTTTTCATTGAAACCATCCATTATCTTGGTACATTTTGATCCTCAAAACACTGAATACACTGCTGAATGCTCAACTCCTCTGTGTTAGTTATTGGGAGGGAGTTTGGTTTCAACAGAGTAAAGCTTTCACAGCAAATGCCCAGTACTCACCACTACTCAGTAGACATGATGAAGCCTCTCGGATGGGAGGTGAAACATCTTAAACTATTTGTAAACAAATACAGTCCAGCATAGTAAAGTGGATGAATGAGAAGTCTACACAAACAGCCTCGGAAGCCCCGCAAAACTGGAGTTACAAGGTTTTCACAACACTAATACGCTATTAAGCACCACTCAGTCAGCAATCCTCTACCTGTTTCTTTTCTTGCCCACCTCTGTGTGTGTGTGTGTGTGTGTGTCTGTGTGGCCACTCACTGCTTCTCTTGACGTAGAGGCTGAAGGAGCTCTGCAGCTTGCTGATGTCATTGCGAACGCTGATGTCCAAGCAGTGGACGCCAGCTGAGGTGAAGGTGAGGTTCAGTTGCAGAGTGTTTTCTTGCAGCATGGTCAGTGTGCAGCCCCCTGTCATGTCCTGCACACAGTTGGGCAGGAAACGCCAGCACACCCACATGGGAGGACTAAAGACACACACACACGTTTTACCTGCTTTGGTCAAACACATTTAATAAAAGTCTTAAACATGAAAGATAACATTATTTTGCATACTGATAATTTATCATTTTTAACTTGCATTGATCAAATATGTCACGTTTAATTGGGAATAAAAAAAATAAAAAAACAAAATGCAGCTTACCTTCCATCGACGTGAAAAGCCAAAGTGGTGTTCTGAGACACCTCATAATCTGACGGCCCCTTCAGCTCGATGTTTTTAATGGCATCTACAAATGAATTTCAGTTGATAGTCATTTCATCACTTTCTATGATTAGTTTAGGCACAAGTTCACTTGGAAAAATATAGCATGTACTTTTACAGAAAAACCATTTTGAGAGTTAATTTAGTACTGAGAATCTAATAAAAGTTACGTGAGTTCATTTCACAAATCAAATGTAATATTTTAATATTTTATTTTAGATTTTCTTTGTTCCTTGTTCCATTGACATTTTGTAAAACTGCATTTGGAAACTCTGACATTACCTTACTTCATCATCTGATAATTTTTATGTGTTTCAAGAAAATAAAGATATAAGAATATATACACACATTTTTGTGTAGCTGTGGATATATTATAAAATAACAATAGTTTTCATGTAACTGCAGCTAGTTGCTCTTGTATTAATGTCAAACCACAAACCTAGCACTTTGACATCCATGGAGTAGACGTCAGTGAGTAGAGGTGTATATTTGGTCACATTCACTCCCACTTTCAGTCGCAGTGTGTAGTTCCCTGATTCTGAGTAATGATAGCGGACAACCGGCTCAGTCCCTTGGATCACCTCTCTGCATCAGAAATCAAAAGAAGTGTGAAAGATGAAGAAAATTACCCCAAACCTTCATTTATGTTGAAAAAAAATGGAAAAATCCTCGTACCCGTTCCCTAAGTCCCAAGTATAAGTGAACTTTGCCTGGCTGAAATTCTTTTGTGGGTCGAAGAGTTCAAACATGGTCTCAGTGGGAACATCTGAAGCCAGTTCTCCTGTGTCCCTCACATAGGTGGCATTTCCCTCCATCTGATAGAAAACCAACTTCCCAGCAATATTTTCTGTTTAAAACAAAGGATATACTTTGTTACAATGTCTGTGAGAAAAGTATAAATGAGAAATGCTGGATGACCTACCCAAATCTGTCAAAGGGTCTGTGGTCTCTGCTACACCCAGGGCGACCAGAAGTAGGGGCATCAAGATCCTAATCACATTTCTGTAAGTGTACATCCCACAGTTTAAAAGAGGAATAAAGAAATCTTAAATGTCTTAAATATAATAGATGTTAGATTTACCTGTCCATATCTGCTGGTCTTCTCACAGGAGCTGATGGGAGGACCTCAAATAGAAATAAAGTTAGAGTGATTGGACATGGGGAGGAAAGGAGGTGATGCGGCTCCTTCTGACTGGCTGTTAGATTCAGAGCGTGCTTATTAGAGCTGTAAAGGCTTGAAATTGTCACCTTGCGTTTCAATCATGTGGCTCTGGAACAACAACCAGCTTGGCCTGGGTCACATTCCTGTCTGTGACGTGGGACATCTAACACGTGGCAAGTTTTTTCAGTGCTTTTTCTCTGAAAACAGAAATAACAATGACAGTGGAGGTATATTGATATTGATGAGACTTTGCTACAGGAGATATCCACATGGTGGTGCTAACAACTCAAGAATTACCCAAAAAGCGGGTTATTCAAAGTTACTGGTAACTAGTCTAGGACTATTCTTTAATATGTTCAGATTAAGTTGTCAAAAGTTGCAATGGCAGGCTGCAAAGATAAACATGCATGATAGAAATAATATTTACATTTCCTGTTGGCATTTGTTCAGATCTGATTGTAAAAGTCAGCATAATCTCGCCCTTATTCTCTCTTACATTCACAGTAAAAGAAAATTAAAAAATAAACATGAATAAAGACTGTGTAAATATTCACATTATGGATCACAGAGGGCAGGGACATTACATTGCAAAGTGGGCAACTGCTCCAGGATCCTAGACAAGCAGTGGCCCCCGAATGTTTGTGAATGTGCACCACTAAATGACACTATCAACTGAACTGACAAGAATCACACATTATCGTTTATCTTTGAGGCCTTATTAGGGCCCTCTGTGGAGATACACCCAACTGACGTGCCTGATCGGGAATGCTGCTGCTACTTACCTTAGTAACCGGATCGGCATGACATGACTGATCCACATTAAATGTTAGTTTCTTTGTTAGTTTCATGATAAAATTCATTGATTCCTGCTATCATTCAGTCATGGTGGGCTGCTGACTCATTTTTTTTTGTGTCACAGCAAAGTCTGGCCTCTTAACAGTGATTCCACTTCCACACACAGAGAAACTAATTTTGAACTGCGAAAAAGGAGAGCTGGTATCTGATTGGTTCTCTGTGATGGTGTTTAACATGAGATGAGGTATCAGAATCAGAAGGTATCAGTTAAGTGTAGTAACTACTAGTTGCCTTGCAGGGCCCCCAACCCGGGTTAATCCATCCATTAGGCTACACAATATAAATGATGAAACTCGTTAACTAGGCAATTTGAATACGAGTGAAAAAAACTTTACATTGAGAAGTAGCCTAGCAGCTTTACCCCAATCGTGATATGTTACCTTTAAGTCCAAAAACTGGCTGGTGCTGCTGATAATGCTCCAATAGCTTTTTATTTGATGGGCTGTATCGACCCCATCAGCCCACAGACAATAATGGTTTACAAGAAAAGCCAGTCCATTTTGCCAAAATTCACTTTTCCTTCCCTTTTCCAGTTTTTAATACCATGCGACTTTTTGCTTAGCCACGTAACATTTTAATATCAGTTAGTATAAAAACAACCTTTCACATGAGAAAACAGGTGGCCCATTCAGGTGTGTAGGCCTCAGGTAATGTACAATTTTTAAGTTTCTTGCACTTTACTTGATAGTTTCCATATTATGATGCTCTGTATTCTGCTGAGCGAAATATTTCACTATACAGTGTTTGACAGCCACAGTTAATCCTACTTTACAGATGAAGCCTTTACACAGGCTACAAAACAAATTAGGGGTTAAATTGATATTGTGCAATGTTCTTGAATAAACAATTAAACAACAGTACTTTAAGTGATTAGAACTGGCTCCATTTCGACAAGCTACATATTTTAAATTGCGTTATAATGAATAATCGTATATGCCAGAATATAAAAAGGTGATGGGGAGCATTCTGCATAATGACTATTTTTACCTTTGAATAAGGCCTACTGCGTTTTTTAAGTACTTATAGCTTTACTTTCAATGCAAGACTTAAATATACTTCTGAATGTACAGTATTACCGTACAAACATTTGGACAATGACGCCCTCTCTAGGCCAATCGGAGCATTTTTATCTTTTACCTTTTTAATTTATTTATTTATTTATTTTACAGTTGTCTCTTAACACCAGGATAGTGGCAAAGTGCGTCATGACTTTTAGTGGGGGGGGGGGGGGGGTTATAACACACACATGTAGAGTCACTATATCTCATAACTTTTTACTGCACCGCAGCAGAACTTCAATTCTGAACACCTCTCGTGACGTCACGGCGCCCTCCCTCGCGCTTCCTCGCCCTCCCCATCAGCCCTAAACGCACAGGGACGTCACTCGGTGTCCCAGTCAGTCAGTGAGGGAGTCCGCCGCAGGCTGCTGAGCATCTCCCTGCCCACATGCACGGAGCGAGAGTGCAGACAAGCAGCAGGAAAAGCTGTGGGATTTATTATTCGGCGTGGGTGAACACCTGGATTACGAAACCTCGTTTTTATTTTTCTTATTAGTTTTTTATTTTATTGACTTCTGGGCTTGAGGAACAACCTGCCATCATGTTTCGGGGGCCAGATGATGTGAGCAAGCTCACTGAAAGTACATACAAGGTAAGTGAAAGCAAATAAGAAAATAATTGATGGCAATACAATAGTTGGAGAGAGTTGTGGTGTCGCTGTGATTTGCTTTATTCATTGGGACTTTATCACGCTTTATGGGAGCCTTTATATTAAAAGGACCCATTATTTTCCTCTCACTCTGTTAAAAAACACCCATAAACTTTGTTGTTTACATGGGAAGCAACTTATTTCTGTACTCTAATAACAGCTTGTAAAGTCCAACACAAAGTCAACTGAGGGACACACCCTGTTATCAAATTATTAGAAGATGCATAAATCACAGCCAACCTCGATGCAGTACGATACCTCTCCTACTTCTGACATGTGATGAGAGAGAAGAACATTTCCCCCGTAAATCTAGCTACTTGCTATAGCTTGTCAATTGATTTAAAGTGATTTATACTAATGCCCTCACATTCATAAGAAGGTGAGTGTGTGTTTGGGTGTGGAAGCCTGTTTTTCTGTCTCTGAAGCAGTCTTCAAAATAAAAACTTTAGTGTGGAGGTTAAAAGGTTGTTTGGGGGTTTAAGGTTACAATTTTATAGTAGAATTGTGGTTAAGTTATTTTTTCGGTGGAAGGTCCTTCCTGGTTTGTGTGTGTGACAGAGAGAGAGAGAGTCCTACCTGTAGTTTAGTGCCACAGTTTCAGCTGGGAGAGAGAGAGAGAGAAAGGAAAACAAGGAACCTGTTTCCCCTTTTTCCTCTTGACTGCTCTGTTCTTTTCTTAATTTAAAAGTCATACCCGCCCCTACATTGTTCTATTGAGGGCGTGCCAGGGGAATAGAGACGGGGAGGTGAACGGCACTTGATTGTTGAGGCATTTCAATAGTGAGAGAGAGGGCGAGGGGTAGGGATGGGAGAGTGATGAGGTTCATGCCACAAATAGCTGCGACTTTGTGTGGGACTTCGCTCTTTTGAGGGAGTTGTAAAGCATACGTGAGGGGTCAAGTTAAAGATTGAAAGTTTTATTGTTCTCACATGGTGATATTTTTAGAGCAAAAGCAAACACTGGAACTTGTTTTCATGTATGTTTTTTTCCCTTCCACCCACTCCCATAAAAATAGCCTCATGAGGTTTTTTACTGAGCAAGCCTTTCATAAAAAAATAAAATTGAAATGTTTGTGAGTAAGAGACTTACAAAACGGTGTGAAATATAATTACACCCAGGATGCGATCTGTTGTGCTTGCGGTTTTTCGCCATAACCTTTGATCTCTGCTCTTTGTCCCAGATTGTGATGGATCAGCTCAACCCAGGCCTGAGGAACCTGGTCAACCTTGGGAAGAACTATGAGAAGTCAGTCACAGGTAAACAGCTTTCACCTTCACACAGATCAAAAGTAGGATGGCACCTGATGCTTTATAAGTGGTAATGTGAGACTTTGAACTTGGCGTCCGTGTACCACAGGGTTTTTGTTTCACCAGAACACAACGTGATCCAGCAAAGTTCCTCTTTTCACAGCCAGTAACTAGATGATGTTTGTCTCCCCACGCAGCGATGACGCTTGCAGGAAAGGCCTATTTTGATGCTGTCTCGAAGGTCGGCGAGAATGCGATGGTGTCTCCAGTCTCCAGAGAGCTTGGTGAGTTTCATGCGAGTCCAGGTAGCTTCTACCTACAGCGAGTGAAATCTCAAGGGGGTCTGCCGGATATCACTTTCCATCCAGTGTCTGTGGTAAAGCTAGAACTTGAAAAAGATAATGATTCGTCACCTTCACTTCTGTTGAAATGCACTTAAAGGAATTGAAGGATGGCCGAGTGCCAAGGCAGGAAAACAGAGGGTAGGACCCAGAAGCATGCACTTCAGCCACAGATACATTTAAAAATGTATTAACTCAAATACTCAGGCTTACATGCAATCATTTGGAGTACAAAAACAGGCTGAGTTCCAACACCAAAAGGTATAAGCCAAAACAAGGTGAACACAAAGACAGACAGGGCACACTCCAAACATATGATGTGGATGCAACAAAGACTGAACAGAAATGAGGGCTTAAATACTGACGCAGAACAACACACACCAGGCAGGCTAATCAAGCACAGGTGAGACACATCAGGGCAATCAGGGCAGACACAGACAAGAAGCAGGGCCAGGGAAAAGAGACTGATAATTACTAAACAAAACAGGAGAGACACTAAACATGAAACAAATACAAAAACCATTTTCCAGGACAACAAACTAATACAGAAATCATAAATCATCAACCAGAAAACCAAAATCACAACATGCCCAATCAATAACAAAAAAGGAAATAATAATACTGAAACCCAAACCATGACAGACCCATAACAGGAATAGTCTGACATTTTGGGAAATACACGTTTTCACTTTCTTAGAGTTATATCAGAAGATCGATACTATTCCTATATCTGTACGGTAAATATGAAGCTAGGGTTAGCAGCTGGTTAGCTTAGCTTAGCTTAGCACAAAGAGTGCAGCTAGACTGGCTCTCTCCAAAGTTAACAAAATCCACCTACCATCCCTTCTAAAGCTCACCAAATTAACACGTAACATTTTGTGGTTTTACATGGGTTATATGCTTGACTATTTCTTGGCCGGGAGCAGTGACTTGCTGAATGTTACCTGGGAGTCTCACGGAGACAACAAGACTTATGAAAGACACTGATACCAACCAAGAAAAAAAACCCTGTAAAACCACAACGTGCCGTTTTGCACAAATTAAATAAACGTGATATAACCCCTTGTTTCACCCAAACATCTTGTTGAAAAATGTACACTGGACACCATCTACATGCTGTTTCTGTGCAACTGCATCATAGTGACACTTTTTGCCTGCATGCAACCATCATCCCTAATGCGAGTCAATTATGCAAACATCTGGAAATAACATTGATTAAACCCTTGTGGCACAGTAGCAGCAGAAATTCATTATTGTCTGCTGCGATGGAAGTGCTTCTTTTCCTTTGTGTCTTCTTCGAGGCAGCCGTCAAGCCTGTACAGGTTGTTTTTCATCCATCCTGTGACTCATCTCCAATTATTCTATTAGTGCTAAAATTTAGTGCTGCCCTACTTTGTCCAGGGACCCTAATTCTGCGCTATTACCATTCATCAAGTAGTTTTTTTTGGTATTCTGTTGCGTCACTCCTTAATGGTGGGGTTTATAAATTGGCCTCATGTAAGCTCAGGTTGATGTGACAGGCAGGCAATCAGTAGGGCAGTAAAAATGGAAAGATAACTCTCTGTCATTTAGTCTACAGTGAATATTACTTCCATTTACATCATCATATACATCTTTGAAAAATAGCTGTGTCTCTCTTCAGATGGCATTTGCATTACTTTCAGTCATAAACAAAACTTGACAACACTGGATGAGGTGATTTTCACAGAGCTATCACTGCATGATAGAGACATGATTACGTGTCTTTCACGTTTGGGGGAAATCTAAATAAAGAAACAAGGAAGTTAGCAAAACAAGCAAGTGTCGGTATCTGAAAATGAAACCATGAAGAATACATTTTATTATAGTAAATCGACAGCCTTGAAAAAAAATCCAGATTCCCGCATATCGCCTCTCCTGTCAGTCAGAAAGATTTTATGCCTTTACTTGTCCATTCTAAAACTTATAATAATAATACATTTTATTTGTAATGCACTTTAAATTTAAAACCAATCTCAAAGTGCTACAGGTAAGAGCATAAAAACAAGGTAAAAACATCAATATATATATGTAATATAAAATATATAACAACATTATAGTGCAAGGTTAATTTAAAACTCATAAGTTCTGCTAAAAAGAAATGTTTTAAGTTCTTTTTTAAAAGTCTCAGTAGTTTGAGGTATATCTGATACAATAAAACCTACTGATCATGCTTTGACATGTTGATACACAGGTTACCTTTCTTACTATGCATTATCTCTGTAGATTCTGCAATTCTGTATTTCAAAATTAAGATATTATTTTTATCAGACTAGCAGGGAGCAGTGAAACATTTATATAACTTATTGGAGATCTCCATTCCCTGCTGTTACGCAATGTTAATCAAGTTTGTCGGGCTGCACCTGTCAGTTAACAATTCCAGTATTTCATTACGTCATCAAATAATGTGTTCATGTTACACCACAAATGCCACACTAGATGCTCCGCCATCTTTACTTTTGAACATTTGAAAAGCTTTAACATTGATTGCTGCATTTCCAAAATGAAGCCTTTCTGGATTAAGACAAAGGTACACGTATGTCACTACATTTGAAGTTGTTGCAATCTGCAAACAAAGGGAGTCAGAGATGTGACCCCAATCATAAGAATCCATCCCAACATTAAAATGGCTTTGAGTAAAAATCGCACGTCTTGAACTCCCAGCTTGGCAGTCGTTCGTTGACGGTGTGGAATAGACGACAACGAGACAGTGTGAATTCTCTCACACACTGCAGCGAGCGGAGTAGCAAACACGCTGTACAAACAGACAGACAGAAGAGACTGTCTTCCCACCACCGATCCTCCTCATCCCCCTGTTCCTCCATCTGCCTCACCAAACCCATCGCCAGTCTTTACTGTCTGTATGTGGAGGCCAGGCAATATAGTGCAATGTAACAAAACAAAAGACATAAGACAGAGTCAAACAATGGTGTAAATACAACAGGATTTACGGCTTCTTATTATTACCTCTTCACTCCATCTCTGACAGTAGGATATTTGATGTAGGCACATAATTGAGCATAACTTCCCTGAATGACAGACCAAATATATTACTGTGTTGTTATGACTAGCGCTCCATTCAGACGCTGCCTGTGAGGATTTTTTTTTCTCTGAAGTGAGAGATTGTTTTATTCTTTATTCAGGTTTGGCATAAAAAGCATTTGCGTCACAGTGGTTGGCAGGTATTTGCAGAAAGTTACCTGAGGTTTTTACTTCATACCGCACTGCTGGACTACAATTTGTCCACATTTTCTCTTTCAGACTGATGCTATAATGGATGTAAAAGCGTACTTGTAATAAGGAAAGACATTTAGTCAAATGTCACAATTGCCTGAAGGAAAACTAAGAGTATGCATGAGTGAAAGCCTTTAACTTTATCACCTGTGTCTCTCAGCTCTCATCTCCTTTTTCTTGACTTAAATAAAACCCAACCCAACACGTCATAGGAAAAATTGTCTCTTTATCTGCTAGTTACTTGCAGAATTTCTGATAAAAGCCTCAAATATTGCACCAAATATTTGAGAATTTTATGTAACTTTTGAAAAAAGAAATGAAGCAATCTTCCTCTTAACAATTAAATGTTGTATTGATAAGCAATAAAAACACCTTCAATACATTCATGGAGTTTACTGCTAAATTTTCTCTGGTTTAATCAGTAGCTAATGTTAGCTAATATTAGCTAACACTCGCTCTTAGTTAGGTCGCCCAATGATGTGTGTGAAGCAACTGTCTCCAGAGCATCTGAGAAAATTTAAGAAAATGTAATGTGCCATTAGTTTTAGAGGCCACATATCACCGTATATCACTGTGTATATTTAAAAGTTATAGTTTTAAGGGGTGTACAATTAGAAACTTCCTGTGCATTAGCGCATGGCAGGACTCCACAAGGAGTTGCCACTCTACTCTGAAAAGAAGCAGCTATTGGAGGGACTGAAAATGTTACAGGAGAAAAAATAGAACGATCCCCCACCCCTTCCACCTTTTCTCTGCGCTGTTTGTCACACCTCAGTCGAAATAGTTTTTTGAAATATTAAAGTACAGTCAGCATGAGAAAAATGGTAATGTCAGCCAGAGCAATTTCTTTCCCCCCAGAGAATGAGGATTCAGAGTGTTTCTTGCAGATAGCTTCTGTAACAGGTTTTGGCTTTTGAGAAGAGCCATAAACGGTTCCCAAAAGTCAGTGATGGTCCACCTCCCTTAATTTTTCTCCCTGCTTTATATGTTGTTTCTTAGAACAGCTGGAGCTGTCCTGGCTCAAGAAACTTGTAGTCAAACCCTGAAACCCGCTAACCATCACTTCTTCTAAATTATTAACAGGTTATATCTTGGTTGTTTCATCTCTTTTATTTTTGTGCTCTTATCAGCTATACTGCTCCTTATGGAAGTATGGGCAATTGCTGAGGACAATTACCTGAGCCATATGGCATAAATGTACCTGGGCCACTAAAATATCAGGGTCAGTCACACAGACAAAAATGTTTTTCCAAACCAGGCATAGACTGTTGAAAACAAGCGAAACAGAGGAGGGTGGAGGTTGTTTTCAAGGAGTCCACTCATTGTTCAGTCAGTTATGACTCG